TCTAATGATTTTTGAATGCTGTGTTTATCGTTTACTGCCCAGAGTCAGAACTAAACATGATATAGCTGCATTTCAGATTCACAAGGCTAAAATCTGGAACGGTCTTCCTGGAAATGTGAGACAGGCTTCTTCTTTGACAATGTTAAAATCCAGGTTTAAAACACTTCTGTTTCTGCTTCAACTGAAAGATTTTATGAGAGATTTTATTTGTATCTTTTTAATTTACTGTCAATATTTATAATTGTAATGACTTGTTTGATAGTTTCTATCTTTTGTTCAGTGCTTTGAGTTTCCTTTTGTTTTGACTGTGCTATACAAATAAACTTGCCTTGCCTATTGCAAAAAGTATGTCTCGACTAGTAAGTGATTCTGCAGAGGTTAAGTAGGTCAATAGGACTGTAAATGGACGTCATATAAACGTCAATATTTTGGTCATATAAGACGTCGAGAGGACGTCGGACCCGACCGGTTCTGTACCACATTGCAACCTTGAATTAACGTCCAGATGACGTTGGAATTACGTTGTTTTGACATCTGCTTGCTTAGTGGGAACGACTGAAAACAAACGTCATATAAACGTCAATATTTTGGTCATATGAGACGTTGATAGGACGTCAGACCCGACCGGTTCCGTCCCACATTCAAACCTTGAATTGACGTGCCATCAACGTAACATTTGGAGGTTGAGGTGACGTCGGGAAACAACGTCGAGAAAACTTTCATTCTGCACCAAGCCCCGGCGATCCAAGATGGCGCCTGTGGTGACAGTTTTTGGAGTAATTACATAAAACCAGCCGCAGCAAATACACGGACGTCAAAGGCCTTTTATCAATGCAGAGACGCCCTTCTGACGCCATGCTGAGCTTTGTGAGGGCCCCCTGCTGTCTGTCACACCCTTGTGTCTTTCGTATCTTGAATCGGTATGCCTGCTTCTATCCATATGCCCCTGCTGCCAGGAAGGAGCCGGGCCCCCCCCGACACCTACAGACAATGGCTATCACTCTTGCCCCCTTTCACCTCTTGCATATGTATCGGTCTGTATGTGTGCACTCTCTCATCCCTATGCGCCTCCTGCACCGGTGGCCCCCCTCCCATCTGTTGTGGGCGGGACTATCTTTGGTGTGTGTCTTGTATACAGGAAGCTCGGGGCTCTGGCCCCCAGAGCTGGAACATGCTGCTTTTGGAGTGTATGTGCTGGCTCTCCGCACGTGCGTTAACAATAAACTTACGCTTTTGATCAGACAAAGGACCTTTGAGTTTTCTCCTTCATGGGGTATATAATTCTATAACACGCCCTATTCAAATGAATGGTTGTGCTCAGTGGCGCTTTGTGACGGCATGGGGGCTGAAAGATTAGCGGAAGTTGCCTGAAACTCGCAAAGATCTATGGGAAACTCGCAAAGATCTATGGGAAACTCGCAAAGATCTATGGGAAACTCGCAAAGATCTATGGGAAACTCGCCTGTATTTGGGCATCGTCTGGTCCTCCCGGTTCTGTGCAGTGGATGATCTCCCATAATGCGTTGCGCTAAACACGCGTGTGTGGGTCTCACACCGGGTCTCACGCACATGCACAGAGGGGCTCGGCCGCGCTCTGACCAATCAGAGCAGTTCATCAGAGCGGGAGTTAGAGCGAGAGCCAGAGGAGCAGAGTTTGTGGCACTAAAGTGTGGATTTAAACAAAACCGAAGGATTTAAGAAGAAAAAAAGTTCAGGATGACAAGGGACACTAAAATCCCCACAAAATCTGATCTTTATGAAAGCTGTAGGTTCTCTGTCAGCTGAGGTTGAGCTGTTTTAATATGCATTGAGTTCTATGGGGAAAATTTCTGGGTAGCCCACGTGAATTTAGTCTGGTTCAGTCTGCAGTACCGCGAGAATCCCCTGAGCTACAAGCTGTAATACCCTATCCAGTTAATATAATACATCCATGTTCTGCACCCACCAGTGACCTATATTCTACGTCGAACAACGACGTTGAAATGACGTCGGCTTGCTTAGTGGGAGAGAGAGAGACCAGAGAGAAAGAGAGAGCATGGACAGGTCCGGTGCAGGACTGAAGCGCTCCCAGGCGGGTCAGGCAGGGCAGTCCGCAGGTGTAGATGGATAGGGCCGGTTCAGAGGTCCCATTGTCGCGCCACGTCCTGGGTCTACAGTCTCAGTCCTGGATCTACAGTCTCAGTTCTGGGTCTACAGCCTCAGTCCTGGGTCTACAGCCTCAGTCCTGGGTCTACAGCCTCAGTCTTGGGTCTACAGCCTCAGTCCTGGGTCTACAGCCTCAGTCTTGGGTCTACAGCCTCAGTCTTGGGTCTACAGCCTCGGTCCTCCTCCATGAATAAAATCACACCATTTCCCTGCGCCCCGAGCTCAGAGCGGCCCCTCACACTGGGGTCCGGACCCTCTGCTCCGGTCCCCGGCTCCACATCAAAGATTGTGACGCAGTGGGTTCACAGGAAGCTTTGGAGAACAGACCATATATGGGCATCCGGTGCATCAGGGCTTTTTATATATTTGTGTCTTTTAGCTGATCTTTAGCAGGAGTAGAGTTTAAAAACTGTGGCTCCATCCTGGAAAAATAACTAAAATAATACATTCAGTCAAATAGAAACACAGAAATAATAATTAAGTTTAGCTATAAAATACTAAAATGATTGTCCAACTTAAGTACATCCAAATAAACCAAAAGCCAAAATATTGATGTTCCAAAATAACCACAAGATTCAAATTTAAATAAAATAAAAATACAAAACAAGGGAAAAAAAATCTAAATGTACTCTATAATAAGGTTTTTGTAGATTTGGATTCAAAATATCAGAATGTATTTGAAAGGTGGGGAGAACATGCAAACTCTGCACAGAAAGGCCAGCCACAAGACCAGAGAGAGAAACCAGAGAGAGAGAGTCCGGAGAGAGTCCAGAAAGAGACCAGAGAGAGAGACCAGAGAGAGAGACAGAGAGAGGGACCAGAGAGAGAGACCAGAGAGAGAGACCAGAGAGAGAGACCAGAGAGAGAGACAGAGAGAGGGACCAGAGAGAGAGACCAGAGAGAGAGACCAGAGAGAGAGACCAGAGAGAGAGACCAGAAAGAGAGAGACCAGAGAGAGAGACCAGAGAGAGAGACCAGAGAGAGACCAGAGAGAGAGACAGAGAGAGGGACCAGAGAGAGAGACCAGAGAGAGACCAGAGAGAGAGACAGAGAGAGGGACCAGAGAGAGAGACCAGAAAGAGAGACCAGAAAGAGAGAGACCAGAGAGAGAGACCAGAGAGAGACCAGAGAGAGAGACCAGAGAGAGACCAGAGAGAGAGACCAGAGAGAGAGACCAGAGAGAGGGACCAGAGAGAGAGACCAGAGAGAGACCAGAGAGAGAGACCAGAGAGAGAGACCAGAGAGAGAGACCAGAGAGAGAGACAGAGAGAGGGACCAGAGAGAGAGACCAAAGAGAGAGACCAGAGAGAGAGACCAGAGAGAGAGACCAGAGAGAGACCAGAGAGAGACCAGAGAGAGAGACCAGAGAGAGGGACCAGAGAGAGACCAGAGAGAGACCAGAGAGAGAGACCAGAGAGAGACCAGAGAGAGGGACCAGAGAGAGAGAGACAGACAAGAGAGACCGGAGAAAAAGATCAGAGAGAGAGACCAGAGTTTATTTTTTCATGTAAGTCAACAGGAGCCAGAGAGAGTTGGAGCAAAACTTCCCTTGCTCTTACGAATCGGGCTTCATGGAGTTAGCGGGTTAGCATCACGTGTGTACCTACCAGCGGGTTAGCATCACGTGTGTACCTACCAGCGGGTTAGCATCACGTGTGTACCTACCAGCGGGTTAGCATCACGTGTACACTAGCAGGTTAGCATCACGTGTGTCCAGGCCAGTCCCACGCTCCGGCCGCCTCTCTCCACATGTGTGTTTTGAAAAAGAGGGTTTTGTCTCGGCCTCAGTCACAGTTTGATGGATGTGCACGAGGTCCTGGTTCAAAGCAGAGCCACAACAACAGGCGTTTCATGAGAGGTTTCTCTCATGTTGTATACGAATAAACACACGGCTAATGGTGCATGTCCCGTGTGTCTGTGGCTAATGCTGCCTCAATCTACCCCAGAGGCAATTATAAAGTTGTCCAAATCTGAACTGTTCTATTTTTTTAGTGCATGTTGAATTTTATTAGAAAGAAAGAATATTCAGTCTGTGATATATTTATCTAAATTTGAGCATTTTTTGACACATTTTTCATCACTTTTTGCAGTGTAGGGAGAAGAGTTACCGGTGTTTTTAAACACAGGGTGACAAGGGACCAGTGTTTTTAAACACAGGGTGACAAGGGACCAGTGTTTTAAACACAGGGTGACAAGGGACCAGTGTTTTTAAACACAGGGTGACAAGGGACCAGTGTTTTTAAACACAGGGTGACAAGGGACCAGTGTTTTTAAACACAGGGTGACAAGGGACCAGTGTTTTTAAACACAGGGTGACAAGGGACCAGTGTTTTTAAACACAGGGTGACAAGGGACCAGTGTTTTAAACACAGGGTGACAAGGGACCAGTGTTTTTAAACACAGGGTGACAAGGGACCAGTGTTTTAAACACAGGGTGACAAGGGACCAGTGTTTTAAACACAGGGTGACAAGGGACCAGTGTTTTTAAACACAGGGTGACAAGGGACCAGTGTTTTAAACACAGGGTGACAAGGGACCAGTGTTTTAAACACAGGGTGACAAGGGACCAGTGTTTTAAACACAGGGTGACAAGGGACCAGTGTTTTAAACACAGGGTGACAAGGGACCAGTGTTTTAAACACAGGTCCCTAACCCTGTGTTAAATAGTGAATAAAACTACAATATTCAACAACAATGCTATTAACACTACACAATTCTCAATAATACAAACAGCTATGCTAATAAAAATCTACCTAAATGCTATAACTAATCGCAAACCTGACAATCGATGAAAAGATTCTCTGCTATTCCTTCCTTCCTTCACTGGGGGGGGCGTGAATGAGACTGGGCCGTTTATGTACCTCAGGGCGGCAGGGCAACTGACGTCAGGGATCACTGCAGACGTCAGGGATCACTGCAGACGTCAGGGATCACTGCAGACGTCAAGGATCACTGCAGACGTCAGGGATCACTGCAGACGTCAGGGATCACTGCAGACGTCAGCCTTCACTGCAGACGTCAGCCTTCACTGCAGACGTCAGGGATCACTGCAGACGTCAAGGATCACTGCAGACGTCAGGGATCACTGCAGACGTCAACCTTCACTGCAGACGTCAGGGATCACTGCAGACGTCAAGGATCACTGCAGACGTCAGGGATCACTGCAGACGTCAACCTTCACTGCAGACGTCAGGGATCACTGCAGACGTCAGCCTTCACTGCAGACGTCAGCCTTCACTGCAGACGTCAAGGATCACTGCAGACGTCAGCCTTCACTGCAGACGTCAGCCTTCACTGCAGACGTCAAGGATCACTGCAGACGTCAGCCTTCACTGCAGACGTCAGGGATCACTGCAGACGTCAGCCTTCACTGCAGACGTCAACCTTCACTGCAGACGTCAGGGATCACTGCAGACGTCAGGGATCACTGCAGACGTCAACCTTCACTGCAGACGTCAGGGATCACTGCAGACGTCAGCCTTCACTGCAGACGTCAGCCTTCACTGCAGACGTCAAGGATCACTGCAGACGTCAGCCTTCACTGCAGACGTCAGCCTTCACTGCAGACGTCAAGGATCACTGCAGACGTCAGCCTTCACTGCAGACGTCAGGGATCACTGCAGACGTCAGCCTTCACTGCAGACGTCAGCCTTCACTGCAGACGTCAACCTTCACTGCAGACGTCAGGGATCACTGCAGACGTCAGGGATCACTGCAGACGTCAGGGATCACTGCAGACGTCAAGGATCACTGCAGACGTCAGGGATCACTGCAGACGTCAGCCTTCACTGCAGACGTCAGGTATCACTGCAGACGTCAGGGATCACTGCAGACGTCAGGGATCACTGCAGACGTCAGGGATCACTGCAGACGTCAGGGATCACTGCAGACGTCAGGGATCACTGCAGACGTCAGCCTTCACTGCAGACGTCAGGGATCACTGCAGACGTCAGCCTTCACTGCAGACGTCAGGGATCACTGCAGACGTCAACCTTCACTGCAGACGTCAGGGATCACTGCAGACGTCAGGGATCACTGCAGACGTCAGCCTTCACTGCAGACGTCAGGGATCACTGCAGACGTCAGCCTTCACTGCAGACGTCAGCCTTCACTGCAGACGTCAGGGATCACTGCAGACGTCAGCCTTCACTGCAGACGTCAGCCTTCACTGCAGACGTCAGGGATCACTGCAGACGTCAGGGATCATTGCAGACGTCAGGGATCACTGCAGACGTCAGGGATCACTGCAGACGTCAGCCTTCACTGCAGACGTCAGCCTTCACTGCAGACGTCAGGGATCACTGCAGACGTCAGGGATCACTGCAGACGTCAACCTTCACTGCAGACGTCAGCCTTCACTGCAGACGTCAGCCTTCACTGCAGACGTCAGCCTTCACTGCAGACAGGTGTCATTCAAAATTCAAATGTAGTAACACAAGTGGCCTGCAGATGACGCCTCACAGACGGTTTTAGGCAGAAAGTTGAACTTTCAACTAATTTGCACCAAAGTGACAAAATTATGACCAGGATATGTACACAACACTATTGGACACTCATTTATACTGTTTATCAGCTGGATTTGAGGGTGAGTTGTCCTTTAAATGCACACACACACCCTGAAAAACAGAATAGATATATACTTGTATATAGTAGTACATGTGTTCATGCCATAGATATATTTTTATACTTTTATGACTTGTCTATAGTTTGCACCGTGAGCCAAACAGAGTAATACTTTGAGACTTCCTGTTATTTACAATCAAAGTGAAAAGGATGGAACAGTCATAAACAGGTCCACACTCCTGATCCGATCCTGATGACCTCGTCGGCCTCAAAGACGTCACGAGGAAATGGACTCCAGACAAAAACAAACTAATTAACCTTGCAGAAGAATGACCCTGCTCTGTGCTGCTAATTTGGGAATAACAGATGGGATTATCACCGACCGAGAGGAAATGAAACAGAAATCTGCTAATTCTATGTGTGTGTGTGTGTGTGTGTGTGTGTGTGTGTGTGTGTGTGTGTGTGTGTGTGTGTGTGTGTGTGTGTGTGTGTGTGTGTGTGTGTGTGTGTGTGTGTGTGTGTGTGTGTGTGTGTGTGTGTGTGTGTGTGTGTGTGTGTGTGTGTGTGTGTGTGCACTTGTTTTCAACTCCTGGTGGGTTCCATAACCTGAGATTCCACTCACGTCATGGGGACTGGTTTTACGTGGTGGGGCCCGAACACCGGACCCCACTGGTCCAAGCTTAATAATCAATGGGTAATGCTTTTCTAACGGTCCTTATGCAGTCTCTGTAAAAATATGGAAAGGACCCCTGGAGGTTTACTTTCCTGAAAAAAGTGTGTTATGTGTCGGAACCCTGGTGGTGGGTTGCGGGATATCAAGGAGGGGCACACTGGGGCAATTTCAGTCCAGCAGGCTGGAGCCAATCATGGAGCAGCACAACAGAGGAAATCAGGTGTCAGGCTAGAAAAAGGTGCAAGTGTGTGGTTCATTAGGCTGCAAGAAATCATGGAGGAGCACACTGAAGCGCACGCTTACAAACCACTGGTAAGTGCTGACTACAAGTCATGACTTCACATTGTTATATAGAATGATTACAAATTATTTGTTGTTTGTGCAGCTTAGTCAAGAGTCCCTAATTGATGAAGTCGACTCAGATTCTGACGATTTAACTGTCAAGAAGAAACCTGTAAAAAAGTATGGAAAAAGAAAAATCAAAAACACTTTTCTTCAAGACTCGGAAAGTGACGAACCAAAGGCAAATAAGATTGTTATCATGCAGCTGCAAAAGAAGAAAAATGGGGGGCGAGTTTACAGCAAGAGACACTTCTGCCTCTACTGTTCAATGTCCTGCCACAAAATGTCCCGTCATTTGACTAGAAAACATGGAAATGAAAGTGACGTAGCCAGAGCATTGGCTCTACCTGTGAAATCTAAAGCACGTAAACTTCAGTTTGATTTGATCAGGAATAGTGGAAACCGTGAGCACAATTTTGAGGTTTTAAAGGCCGGCATTGGAACTTTAGTCCCAGCTAAACAGCCAAATTCCCCAGTTAAATCCAGTGAGTTTTTGCACTGTATAGACTGTGGGGCATTGCTTAAGCGAAAGTCGCTGTGGAGGCATGTGGCCAGGTGCCGGCTTTCACAGAAAGATTCCCAGGCTAAACCAGGCTAAACCAGGTAGAAGTAGGGTCCAGTCCCTCTGCTCCCTAGCCCAGCCTGTACCGGAGGGCATCAGCAAAAAGCTGTGGTCTTTAATTTCGGCAATGCATCAGGATGAGGTCACGGGTGTTGTCAAAGCAGAAAAGGGGATTCTGAGACTCGGAGAGCACCTGTACTTAAAACACGGGCATGATAAGACTAAGCATGATTACATTAGGCAGAAAATGAGAGAAGTCGGTAGGTTAATTAACGAAGCAAAAACCGCAGGGAAACTGAAAACAATTAAGGATTTCTTTATTCCTTCCAACTTTAACCATGTGATTGATGCAGTCAGGTCTGTGGCTGGATATGATGAGGAAACAAATCAATACAAGACTCCATCCTTGGCCCTCAAACTCGGCCATAGCCTCAGAAAGCTAGCAGATATTCTTGAATGTGACTCAAAAATGGAGCATTGTGTTGATGAACTATTTATTAAAAACCTCCAACGAAGCCGGCTGCTTTTTGAGAAGAGGTGGGACGTCTGTGTTTCTTCTGCTGCCCTACAGACCCTCCGGCAAGCCAAGTGGAACACTCCGGACCTGCTCCCTCTGACTGAGGACGTTAGAGCCATGCATGCACATATTGAGGTATGTCGACCTGAATATGTGCAAACCCTAATAAGTGAGCCAACGTCTAAGCATTGGTCTAAACTGGCAGTTTTGACTCTTTGTGAGGTCATCATTTTCAATCGAAGAAGGGAAGGTGAGGTTTCAAAGATGCCACTGACAGCCTTTACCTTAAGAAGTAAGACTGGGATCCATTCTGACATTGCTCTGGGACTGTCCCAACTTGAGAAAAAGCTGTGTCAGCATTTTCAACGCATTGAAATTAAAGGGAAAAGAAGTCGGAAAGTGCCGGTTCTTTTGACTCCTGAAATGATTGCTTCGATGGAGGTGCTGGTGGAGAACAGAAGGGCCTGTTCCATCTCTGACCATAACCCATACTTCTTTTCCCGCCCGGGCGCAGACACCCACATCAGGGGATCAGACTCCCTACGGCAGGTAGCCAAAGAATGTGGTGCGGTGCATCCAGAGATGCTATCCTCAACCAAACTTAGAAAGCACATAGCTACTATGTCTACAGTTCTCAATATGAAAGAGAATGAGATGGACATACTTGCCAACTTCCTCGCCATGACATTCGCATCCACAGGCAATATTACAGACTACCAGAGGGGACACTGGAGCTGGCCAAAATCAGCAAAGTGTTGATGGCCATGGAGCAGGGAAGAGTGACGGAATTCGAAGGAAAGAGCCTCGACCAGATACAAATTGAGCCTGAAGGTAATTCTTGATATTATTAAAATATGTATGATTTTTTTCCCCTAAAGGCCACTTGTATTTTTATTTTCTGTGCGACAGGGAGAGCAGTAGAGATCCTCTCACAAACGGACGGGCTAAAAGAAACTTCAAGCGGAGAACCTTCAACCATTCATCCAGATGCACCCCATGGTAGTGGCAGTGCCCCTTCTGGTAAGTGTACCAGGTGGGGGATTACAGCCAGGCTGCTTGGTCCTAACCCTGGGAGTGTATATTGCTAATATATTTTTATTTCTCTCCCTAGAACGTTAGAGAAAGCCATGGTCTGCATCTGAGGTGAAGGCTGTGGAGAAGACCATGACACCTTTCATACAGACTGGAAAGGTCCCTGGGAAGTCTCACTGCCTGGCCTGCATTAATGCCTCACCAGATGACCTTAGACATCGGACATGGAGTGGCATTAAATTCTATGTCAAAAATAGAATCACTGCAATTCGAAAAAAAAAATCAAAAATAAAATTCCTTTAAAATAGTTGTTTGGTTTCTATTGACTGTTTTGTATTACTTAAAGTAGTCCCAGTAAAAAAAGATTATGTCTATGGGTCCCATTCTGAACGGCCCTGTCAAAGGGACCCACCAGGTAACAAAAACGTGTGTGTGTGTGTGTGTGTGTGTGTGTGTGTGTGTGTGTGTGTGTGTGTTTGCCGTTGTGCTTCCGACTTGAAGATGTCATTGAGAAAATCACTGTATTTTTAAAGTTTTTAAAATTTCAATTAAGTTTTTGTATTTACAATGAGCAGCGTTAGGGATTGACATCTTGGAGAGACCGGAGGCAGACATCTTGGAGACCCCAGAGGCAGACATCTTGGAGAGACCAGAGGCAGACATCTTGGAGAGACCAGAGGCAGACATCTTGGAGAGACCAGTGGCAGACATCTTGGAGAGACCGGAGGCAGACATCTTGGAGAGACCGGAGGCAGACATCTTGGAGACCCCAGAGGCAGACATCTTGGAGAGACCAGTGGCAGACATCTTGGAGAGACCAGAGGCAGACATCTTGGAGAGACCAGAGGCAGACATCTTAGAGAGACCAGAGGCAGACATCTTAGAGAGACCAGGAACCATAGGACTGTATATATTAACGGACGTAGTCACGCCTATCTCCTCCGTTCTAACTAATGGGCCAAAAATTGAGCTTTCATGGAGTGATTCAAAATGGCCGCGGGGACTGGAAAATGTGAAAAAACACATCTGTGCATGCGTCAGCTGCACAAGCCCCATTCATTTGAACGAGTGACTTCAAAAATTCACAGCGATTAAACTAGACTGGTCCAATCCACCCCCCTCAGCATTGACACACATGTGGAACAGAGCTTTGGGCCAAGAGCCAACTTTTGGTCCATCCTGTAAAGACGTTTACGAGAGGTCTGCCAATGCTATATGTTAGCATTGGCTAATTCTTCTTCTGGGTCCACCCCCATCGGCCCGGGGTGGTATTGCAGCATGTCAGCGCACGTCATTTTGGCCACTTTTGAGCCGGGACCCGCCCCCACTGCCAGAGACAGACATCTTGGAGACCCAGGGTTTTTGCCACTCACTACATTTGTGGTATAAATGTTTTTACCTTATAAATTCAGACCCTCTGGTGGCATGTGTTGCAAAGCTAGGGCTATAACATTATTGCACTACCAACAAAACCAGCTCAAAGTCAAAGCCCTTGATTTACCGATCGATCTCCGCTCCCTCCCTCACCTCCGGTGAGAAGTTTGGCTGCGTTTTTGAATGGGATTTATGAAGAACTTCCTCTTTCTTTCTTCATTCCTGCAGTGTATTTGTTGTCTGCAGTAAAACCACATTGGAATCCATGTGCTAAAGTACCCAGTGCACACCAGACAAATGTTTTATCTTAACTAATGCATGACTGACAGGAGAGATGGAGATGAACCCAAAGATCTTTCTGTCTTGA